GAAGGCCGCTGCACCTCATCGGCCTCAATGATCAGCGGTGTAGTAGGAAGCTTCTGCTGCTGCTGCTTCCACTCCTTGTAGTACAAGGACTCAAGGAACTTCACATCCCTTGACACAGTCAGCTGCTGGCTGGTCAAGTCCCATATCAACCAGCCCTTATGATCCTTAGCAAGCCCCAAGTGTACTCCCCATCTCCCAGAAGCTTCCAGTTTTCCCATCTTCTCCTTAGGCACATGAAACACCACCATGCACCCAAAGGCTCTCAGCATGTTCACAGCTGGTGCAATCCCATACCACTTGGTGTAGGGGACCCAATGCTTGTCCCCCACAGTCGCCAGCACCCTGTTCTTCACAAGGGCGACCTGCCGCAGTGCAGTCACCCAAAACGGATCCGGCAGCCCTGCACGCCCAAGGAGAGTGCGAGCACCTTCCTGCAGGGTCCGGTTGAACCGCTCAGCCACACCGTTCTGCTGAGGGTTGTAGGGCACCGTGAGGTGATGCTGGATCCCCTTCTTCTTCAGCACCGCCTCAAAATCAGCGCCAATGAATTCTCCCCCGTTGTCAGTGCGGATCACCTTCACCTTATGTCCGCTCTCCCTTTGAGCTCTCGGCATCCACTGCTTGAGAACAGCCGCTGCCACCTCCCCCTTAGTCTTCAGAGGGTAGACCCACACCGCACGCGTGTGGTCGTCCACAATGGTCAAGAAGTAGCGGCTGCCCGAGAGAGAAAGGGCCCTCGTGGGGCCCACCACATCCATGTGCACAAGCGCGAGCGGTGCCTTGGCTGGTCCCGTGCTGCTGCTGAAGGGAAACTTCGTGAACTTCGTTTCAAGGCAGGTAGGGCAGCTCCCAATCTCCTTTGCTCCCCCCTTCACCTCCAGCCCCTTCAAGCACCCATCCTTTACCAACTTCTGCAGCATAGGAATGTTCACATGACACAGCCTCTCATGCCACGTCTCCCAATCAGCCTCACCACTCCCAGATGAAGCCTTTGCCCATGCAGCTGTCGCATCCACACCAGCAAGCACCTCACCATGTGGCTGCTGTAGCTGCTGCACCTTCTTGACTGCATCCAGGGCCCCAGCAGTTGGTGCAGTCTCCTCTCCTCCCGCAGTTGCTTTAGCCGCTGCCGCTGCCTTTGCCGTTGCTGGTGGTTTCCCCTTCCAAGGGATGATGGGCAGCTGCCACAGGTCCTTGATGCAGCTGCTCTTCTCCTCCAAGTTCCACAGCAGCAACTTCCCAAGCTTTGCACGGCAGCTGGTTGGGCCGAAAGTAACTTCAGCCTTGCTCTTCTGCAGCCGGCGCACAGAAAGAAGGTTAGCGGACAAACCTTCAACCAACAGCACATTCCCAAGCCCCACAAGCTCTCCATTGGCTCCCATCACCTTAGCATTCCCAACACCAATCACAGGGAGCAAAGCACCTGAAGCGGCAGCCACAAAATTGATCTTCCCAGGAGGTTTTACCTCATCAAGCAAATCTGCCCGTGGGGTCATATGACTCGTGCAACCTGAATCGATCACCCAGTGAGTGAGGGGGTGCATCACAACCTTCCCAACTGAACCCATATCACCCCCACTCCCTTGCACATCCTCAACCATGAGGAACATCCCAGGGTCGGCTTTACCTTGTGCACCATCACCTTTTGCACCTGATCCTTGCACAGCGCCACCGCGTGCACGTTCACCACTTGGCGGCTTCATGCCTGGAGGGGCCCATCCCTCAGGCCGGCTGAAACACTTGAACCACGGGTGTCCAGCCTTCTTGCAGTACCAGCACGCACCCTCCATTTGGGTGCTCCCCCTGCCACCAGAGCTCCCATGCCCCTCATTGTAGTCACCTCGGCCTCTCCCTCTGCCAAAGCCTCTCCCACGGCCTCGGCCTCTCCCTCCCCCTCTTCCTCTGCTGCCTCCTGCAGCTCCATACCCCTCAGCAGTTTTGTTGGCAGCACCACCTCCCGTGTGGCGTCTGCGGAAGTCCTCCTGCAGAATCTGCTGCCGTAGCCACTCAGGCGTCCATTTGTCCTGCTGAACGTTGAGGGTGGGGATGAGGTTGTCCCACGAGTTGTCGAGCACCGAGATGATCTTGGTGCACTGTTGCATCTGCGACACTTCGCTGCCCGCCGCTGCCATCCTCGCATAGGTGTCCTTGATCTTGTCAAGGACCGGTTTCACATCATCTCCCGGTTTCATGGAGAGGGCAGCCAACTCCTTCTCCAACACAATCACCATCGACAGCGTGTTGGGCTGAATCACGTCGCGTAGCAGCTTCCATGCCTTCGGTCCGGAATCATCCAACTCCACCAAATCCTTGATGTGCTGGGACATGTCGTTGTTGACCGATTGGAGGATGAGGTCGTAAAGCACCGCGCTCTTCTCAATCCACCGATCGCGGGCATCTCCTTCCCCCGGCATCTTCTCCTCTCCCATTGCAATTTTCAGCAGCTTGTAGCGCTTGAAGGCGCTCCGCATCCGCCCGCTCCATTCCTCATAGTTGGAGCCATCCAAAGCTTCGATCTTGGATGGTGGCGGTTCACTCCTCTTCTCAGCTGCATCTCCACTCCCTTGATTCATCTCCTCTGCTCCCAATCAGAGGTTTCAGCTCCCCCCTTTGCTGGTCACAATGTAGATCCACACAATCTTCACAAGTGTCGGCGCCAACGAAATTTCGGCAAAGTTTCCCCTTAGCGGAAGTCACATCCAACCTCCAGAACTCCACTTAGGCACGCCCACAGGCCATGGTGGGTCTAAGAGGGTCTTCACACTTCAGTAGACTCCTCATAGGGTCCTTAATCAGCTCTGATACCACTTGTTAGAGATTAAGGACGGAGTCTATGAAGATTAGGGGCTGAAATATCTCAAAATCGTCAACTACAATTCTGGACAGAAAAGTTGTCGTCACAAGAAACGTCGTCGACGAAAGGTCCACAGTTAGAATTCTTTCAAACTCGAGTATGTTGTAGCCCTTGACCGTGGCTATCTTTCCCAATTTGAATAGTATCAAAATATGGAGTATAACTCGAGTTATGAACTTCGGCGCACTAGGGGGTATGCTGCCATAGAAAACGTAACTCAATCACAATGATCTCACAAGTTCACACAAGAGAATTGGAGTAGCACTAAACCAGGTGGAAGGGATGAGGAGGACGAGAGGGAAGGTCTCAAGAGAGTCCCCAACCAAGGAAACCCCCATGCCATACAATTCCCTTCCCCATAGGCAACCCAACTTTGACCTTTGTCACTATCCCAACCTCCACAATCCACCTCAACCCAACTTGGCCACACTTGCCAACCTGGTTTGGTTTCTCCCAACCATTTGGCAGCAACTACAGTAGAAAAGACGAATTTCCCAACCCCCAAAAGTCTGTACCCCATATTGAGTCAACCCCACAACTTCCCATAGTCACCACAACCAAATAACAAAAGCATACGAACTCCAACGTTCGTAACTCTCTTGTTCGTGCTCCGATTGAAGCGATACTTGGTTCCTCGGAAAGCTCTTGAGCAGAGGAGTCACTTCAGATATCTGCTCAAGCCAAATAACATTCACACACACACTCGAAAAAAACCAAACCGCACAAAACACAACTTCTTGCACACACTCACAACACGCATGCAACGCACGAACATATGATGGGAGGCAGACAGACGTGAATGCGAATGGTAGCATCACTCAACAAGGGGGGCCTAACGAGGGGCCGCGAAGGGGCCTTACGAGGGGCCGCGAAGGGGCCTAACGAGGGGCCGCGAAGGGGCCTTACAAGGGGTCGCGAAGGGGCCTTACGAGGGGCCGCGAAGGGGCCTTACGAGGGGCCGCGAAGGGGGGCCTAACGAGGGGCCGCGAAGGGCCTTACGAGGGGCCGCTAAGGGCCGTTAAGGGCAGGCGCGACGCGCGCCTCGGGTAGGAAAAAAAAAAATTCAGTGGTGGGCCCAAGGATCGAGACAGCTCTATACCATGTCAGAATCACGAGGAAGTGAATGAGAGAAGAGGAGAGAGATTCACTAGCAAACATTGGGATACATATAGCAAACCCTAAAAGGGCTGTACTCACTATAGAGTACCCCACTGTAGACTAGAGAAACATAATATTCTGACACGTAGGCATGGTCAATACTTTTGAGAGGAACCGCCAACCTTGTAACACCACATGCGCAAGAAAGCACCTACCGTATTCTCCCGGACAAAACACCCCCCCGTAATTGTACACCCCCGGGTAGCTTGTGCGGGGTGGGTGTTATGATAGACCTCGTTTCTACTATACCCCCCTTTTTGGCCGATTTTCTATAACACCCCCCTTTTCTTACGAAATTGTTATTATAGTCGTTAACGAGTAGCTGCAATACGGAAGAATATCGCGAAAATTTCTCCCTATATGAAATTTCGCGGTACATTCACTTACAATCTACCGAGATTCCCCCTCTTCCACTACTTCGCAGTCGCCACGTGCAGGCGAATCTTCCGCTGCAAGTGGCAAGAGAGGTGCCACATGACATTTTCGTAGGGGTGATGAAGTTCGTGGCCGAAACTCACATTCGTGCCTCAGACAGTGAGGTTAGAATGAAAATCAAAACACCCACATTGTCTAATAAAATAAACACTAACACTAAAATATACCATATGTAAAGACCCGGGTATTATGTATTTTTTCCCTACGAGGAGACCCCCCCCATTTTTTCCCTGTATTTCTAGCTATACCCTAGGGTGTTATGTCCGGGAGAATACGGTATCATGATGTGAACTTGTAATGAACAAACATCTGGTTTGAGTTCTCGTAGAGTTCCATAAGGAAAACCTTACACCATAAAGGAAGCCTTCAGCTGAACCGCCCAGCCGTCGTTCATTCATTGTTCCCTACATATAACATGTATGTTATCATATCAATAATACTCCTCAAGCAATGCCGGATGTAAACACCCATAAGCACTCCAATCACTTCCTTCTGCATCCCTTCGATGTCAACCCCCACAAGTAACGGCCATGCTATCTTTTATTGCTTAGGCATGCAAGCGCAACAATCTCTGCCTCGGTGCCGTAGCTACATCCTCACAACGTGGACAGGTCCGAACACCAAGCACCCAGGAATATGTTATACACTACCAGGTCGTAGTTCGGTAGTTGATGTAGTTGAGAAAGAGGTTGACAGTGGCAGGAGGCAGACCAAAGGAGGGGAAGAATGAGGGGGAGAGGAGGAGGAGGAGGAGGAGGAGGAGGAGGAGGAGGAGGAGGAGGAGGAGGAGGGGTGGGCGAGGGAGGAGGAGGAGGAGGAGGAGGAGGAGGAGGAGGAGAGAGGAGGAGGACGAGGAGGAGGAGAAGGGGGTGTTAGAAACCCAGCCACTAACCACTGGGATAAAAAGACTTGTTTGTGTAGCGGGTGAGTGCGCCCATAACCCCCCAGGCCAACGTGCCTGTAACCCTTTTCTCGGATCAATCGGGGATCACCAGTGGACCTCTGACAGGGGGAGGAGAAGGAGGAAGAGGAGGAGGAGGAGGAGGAGGAGGAGGAGGAGGAGGAGGAGGAGGAGGAGGAGGAGGAGGAGGAGGTGGTGGTGGTGGTGGAGGAGGAAGGGGAGTGGGAGGCTTTCTGAAGAGTGCATAGTGCTCCTCTAATCGGATCAACCACTAGCTTGTTGCGTCAAGACATCCCTAGATTCAATGATTTTGTTTTCTTAGAACTGCCTAGAGTTGAAACTGCCGACGCCACAAGGTCGTGACATGTAATGACAGCAAGGCTGGAAATGGAAAGCGGGAGCACGAAGAAAACGCTGATAAGTATCAACCACTTTACTACAAAGGACCTGATCGTGTTGAACCTGATGCCTGAGGCCTGAATGTTGGTATATATTAATAGTTGTCACACTTAAAATGGCATACTTAGATATAGCTCGGCCTGGTGCCCAACAATCCGATCTCTCTAGGCATTGCTAGAAATATCACTTAGGAACTAGGTATACCTAGTATTGACCACAATAGGTGAAATATTACGTCCTCAGAGGTTAAAACCTACCAACTCATGTTAATACAACACATTTAATGTGGTAACTCAGCAACACGGATCTACACTCCCAGGAAGCCGTAGGATGCTAACCAGACCGTGAGGGGCGCGACATTGGAGGTTCGGGGGGGGGGGGAAACAGGTACAGCTAAAACGCAGGCAAGAGAAAGCGCGGAAAATTCAAGAAGAGGAGGAAAAAACCACTGCTACTGCAGACTGGCTCTTCCACCATCCCCCACCCTTCATCTTCCTGCCACTCCCTGCCACTCCCTGCCACTCCCTGACGTTCCCTGCTGTGCACACAAGCTACTGTGTGCTACGAGCTAGAGCTCCTTTTCACTTGCAAGAGCAGTGTGCCCTCTCAACAGAGGTACCCCGCCACGGCTGCCAATTTCGCTTCCTAACCGCCTCCCCTTCATCCTTCCCTTCCTCACCCCCCTCGTCAGCATTCCCAAGCATTCCATCTCGCCCCTCTTCCTCCACAAATTCTCTACAACTTCATCGGCTCACGTGCCTAGTCTCACGTGCCTTGTCTCATGTGCCTTGTCTCACGTGCCCTGTCTGGCCCGCCTCCACTGTGTGAGCGTGCGCCCGTCTATGAAGATGGTCGTGCCCGGATTGCGATCCTCCCTGCCCGCATGCTGCAGGGTTGGGAGTGATGGGGCGATGGGAGGTGGAGAGATGAGAGGAGCGCGATGATGAGCGAGAATGGGGAGGGAGGGTCAGATGGAGAGAAGGGGGGAGGGGAATTGGGAAGGGAGGGAGGGAGGGAGGGAGGGAGGAAGAGAGGGAGGTGAGGGAGGGAGGGAGGGAGGGAGGGAGGGAGGGAGGGAGGGAGGGAGGGAGGGAGGGAGGGAGGGAGGGAGGGAGGGAGGGAGGGAGGGAGGGAGGGAGGGAGGGAGGGAGGGAGGGAGGGAGTGAGGGAGGGAGGGGAGGGAGGGAGGGAGGGAGGGAGGGAAAGAGGGAGGGAGGGAGGGAGGGAGGGAAAGAGGGAGGGAGGGAGGGAGGGAGGGAAAGAGGGAGGGAGGGAGGGAGGGAGGGAGGGAGGGAGGGAGGGAGGGAGGGAGGGAGGGAGGGAGGGAGGGAAAGAGAGAGGATGTAGAGAAGGAGAGAAGGAGGGAGGCAGAGAGGGAGAGAAAAGGTGAGGCAGGGAGGGACGGAGGCAAGGAGGCAGGGAGCGAGGGAGGCAGGGAAGAAGGGAGGGGTGCAACGATCGAGGCAGGAAGCTGAAAGGGAGGGAGGGAGGCGAGCGGGCAAGCAGGAACTTATGCGGACAGGACGACAAACAGGTTGACAGGCAACGAAGCAAAGGACAGGACAGGGCAGATGAGTTCTCCCCCACGAGCTTCAAGGCAGATGTTTCACGTTCAAACTTTCAACCCACCAGTCCACTCAAGAAGCTGAAATCTAAGTCCAGGCTCCAGGGACAAAGTGGGAGATGGAGCACGGGAGCAGGGGCGACGTGAGGAGTCACTGGGTGAAGGGGGTGAGGGGTCACCTGAGTGAAGCGGGTGAGAGACATCTGAACGCCATGGCAGTCACACACAATCACCAGCCTCCCCCCTTCCGTCTCGCGAAGTTCTCCCTCTGCTCGCACACGACACGATCATGGTGTTGTACAGATGTGTGTGTGTGTGTGTGTGTGTGTGTGTGTGTGTGTGTATGTGTGTGTGTGTGCGTGTGTGTGTACGCGTGTGCGTGTGTGTGTGTGTGTGTGTGTGTGTGTGTGTGTGTACGCGTGTGCGTGTGTGCATCTGCATGCGCGTGCGCGTGCGTGCGTGTGTGTGTGTGTGTGTGTGTGTGTGTGTGTGTGTGTGTGTGTGTGTGTGTGTGTGCACGCGCGGATCACACATTGAATTATGCCTAAGGCTTGCAGGTTATATTGTGGTGAATGGGGATGAGAAATCGGCAATGAAGGCTGGAAGGGTTAGAAGAAACATGTTGGGAGTGGAACAGGGATGACGAGAGGAGGTGGGAGAAGAGTGAAGAGAAGGGAGGGGAAGAGAAGGGAGGGGAAGAAAAAGGGAGGGGAGGGAAGGGAAAGGAAGGGAGTGGAAGGGAAAGGAAAGGAAGGGAAGAGAGGGCATAGCAATTGTACGATAAGAGTGAGCGTACCAACAACAGCGCCTGAGTAGCCTGAGCACGTCGCTTGCACACGCTGCAACACCCGCCCTCCTTCCTCCCCTGCTCCCCTCAGACTCCAACCCGTGCCAGCTACTGCCCCCCATCCTGTTCTAGGTGCTCCCCCTTTGTTCGCCCCACCACCTCCCCCTCCCCCTCCCCCACCCCCACCCCCTCTCTCGCTCCCTTCCCCTCCTCCTCCTCCTCCTCCTCCTCCTCCTCCTCCTCCTCCTCCTCCTCCTCCTCCTCCTCCTCCTCCTCCTCCTCCCCCTCCCCCTCCTCCTTGCAGCTCGTCAGAGCATCTTTCATCCTCCTCCGCTGCATTCTCAGACCCTACCACCTGCCACTCGCTTCTCGTCACATCCCCACCTCCACTCATTTCAGTCCCCGCCCCAAAACGCCCAACCATACCAGTCCCTTCCCCAGAAGCTAGGCGGCCACTGCTCTTGAAAACCAACCCACTGCTTCCACCACCACCACCACCCATTGCAGCGGTTGACACAGCAGCAGCGACACCACTATGGAAGCGAAGAGAAGTGGCATTGGTAGTAGCACCAGCAGAGGCAGCAGCGGCAGTACCAGCAGCAGCAGTGGCAGCAGCAGCGCGCAGCCTATGCTGCAGTGATTCTGCTACAAGAGGCTGTGCTGCTAACGATTGGGGACGTGGTACAAACCACATGTTGCCACTTCCCCTCCCTCCTGCATCAATCCCTGACACGCCATACCTTCCCCCTCTGGTAACCCCTTCACCTCTCATCTCGCTCCGTGCTGATGCGTTACCCTGTAACCATGAGCTGGTGCTATTTTGTATGCTTCCTCTCTGCAATGTGCCACTTGCATGGCGACTATCAGTCAGCATCCCACTCCTCATATTCAACCCCTGTGCTCTCACGTCCCATCCATCTGAATCACTCCTCTCTGTTCCATCACCCCCTTCCTCTGCCTCTCCTTCTCTTCTTCTTCCTCTCTCTCCTCCGCCACCTTCTCCCCCCTCTCCTCCTGGTAGCCTCCTCGCCTGCAAACCTCCTCCATGCTCCCCTCTCTCAACTGCCATTCGATCTCTTTCCTCCTCCCCATCCAGCCACCACCGTTGACTGTTACGCTGTGTGCTGCTGCTCATACCACAACCATCACCACCACTGGCGCCTCTACTGCTGCTCACGCGGCCTGCAGTAGCAACAGCGGCAGCAGAAGCAGCAGCGGAAGCTGAAGCAGCAGGGGCAGCTAAAGCAGCAGGAGCAGTCCCACTTGCAGCAGCGCGAGAGGGTGGACGCATGGGCGCAGCATGAGTAGTAGCAGGAGTGGTGGATGTAGCAAGGGGCTGACCACGATTCCCTGAGGTACCCATCAAACGGCCGGGCATGGATGGAAAGTACCTTCCCTCTTCTGCTTCGACAAGATCGTATCTGGGCCCGTGGCTCTGCTGCTGCTGCTGCTGCTGCTGCTGCTGCTGCTGCTGCTGCTGCTGCTGCTGCTTCTGCTGCTGCTGCTGCTGCTGCTGCTGCTGCTGCTGCTGCTGCTGCTGCTGCTGCTGCTGCTGCTGCTGCTGCTGCTGCTGCTGCTTCAGCTGCTGCGACCGCTGCTGCTGGCTCTGGATGTTGCTCTTGTCGCCCTCGCTGCTTCTCTCTCCATTTTGCCGACTGCTGCTGCTGCTGCTTCTGCTACTGCTCCTTGCACGCCCACGACTCAATTCCTGATCCCCCATCCCTGCCACGCCCCCTTGGCTCCTATTCCGCCCCTCACTTGGTTTCCGGTCACTGTTCTGATTCCAGGCTCCTGCCCTTCCTGCTGCTGCTCCTGCTGCTGCCGCTGGTAACGATTTTACGTTTGCTGGGGCTTGTGAGTTGCTGGTTCTGAAACCGTCACTGAGAGGCAAATGCACAGCAGTCTCAACAGCCTCCTGACATTCCTCCTCGTCTCCAAGCTCCTCCTCCCAATCGTCCTCCCCCTGCTGCTGCTGCTGCTGCCACCGCTGCTGCTGCCATTGCTGCTGTTGCTGCTGCTGCCACCACTGCTGCTGCTGCTGTTGCTGCTGCTGCCACCACTGCTGCTGCTGCTGCTGCTGCCACCATTGCTGGTGCTGATGCTGCATACCACCAACACCGGCTGCAGCCCGAGCAGCATCATCACTGCCAGCAGCAGCAGCTGCATCAGCATCAGCGGCAGCATCAGCGGCAGCATCAGCGGCAGCATCAGCGGCAGCATCAGCGGCAGCGGCGGCTGCGGCAGCGGCAGCAACGGCGGCAGTGGCATCGCGAGCAGCCCTGATACGAGCAGTCCGCCTTGCTGCACCGATTCGCACCCCTTCAGGAGAATCTGACGCTGCTATACTGGTGCTTGCAATGCTGGGTGGAGCCCTGTCGACTGGAGAGTGGTGCAATGGGTTGCTTGGAGGTGCCGCACGCAACGACAGCTCTAGAGAGAGTGCTGGGCCCAACCCTGCACCGGTGGGAAGAGGAGGGAGGGAGGGAGGGAGGGAGGGAGGGAGGGAGGGAGGGAGGGAGGGAGGGAGGGAGGGAGGGAGGGAGGGAGGGAGGGAGGGAGGAAGGGAGGAAGGGAGAGAGGGAGGTGGGCGGATGGGCAGAGGCCAGGCAGGAATAAAAAAGCAAGGAGCCTAACGGAACTAGTCCCAGTGTAAAGGTTCTGGCAGCAGGCATGAATCGCTCTCACCAAGAGGTCGGGTGAGGTGTACACGCCTAGTTTTTTGAGAATTCTCAAAAAACACGTGAGGTGTACACGCCTAGTGGACTCTTCTCTTCTCTGCACCCACACTCTTCTCTTTCTTTCACCCACGCACTTCTCTTCTCTGCACCCACGCTCTTTCCTTCTCTGCACCAAACACTTAATCACCCCTCCCCCCACCTTCTCTCCCACGCCGCCATACGACAACCGCTAAAGATACAGCCACCGCCACAGCCACGGCCGGAGTCATAGAGACAGAGGCAGCTACAGCCATTGCTACAGCCGCAGCCACAGGCAGAGCTATAGCCAGAGCTATAGCCGGAGCTACAACCACAGACACAGCAGCAGCTATAGCCATAGCTAAAGCTACAGCCACGGCTACAACCATTGCTACAACCACAGTTAAGGCCATAGCTACAGCTGCAGCCACAGATACATGCGGGGGGAGATACGTGCGGGGGGCTTACCCTTGCTATCATGCTGATCTGTGCCTCGGTCGGGGGAAAACATTTCCTGGAAGAGAGGGTGAGGGAGAGGGAGAGGGAGAGGGAGAGGGTGAGGGAGAGGGAGAGGGAGAGGGAGAGGGAGAGGGTGAGGGAGAGGGTGAGAGGGAGGGCGGCATCAACGGAGAGATGTCGGCAGGTCGGAGGGAGGGAGTGAGGGAAAGGGGAGGGGGGATGGAGGCAGACTGGCAGGCAGGCAGGCAGGGAGGGAGGGAGGCAGGCAGGCAGGCAGGCAGGCAGGCAGGCAGGCAGGCAGGCAGGCAGGCAGGCAGGCAGGCAGGCAGGCAGGCAGGCAGGCATGCAGGCAGGCAGGCAGGCAGGCAGGCAGGCAGGCAGGCAGGCAGGCAGGCAGGCAGGTAGTCAGCCAGGGAGGCAGGGAAGCTCGTAGGAAAAGAAACGCAAGGGGGACAGGGGAATGAAAGAAGGGCTTCGATGGAGTGGAGTGGGCTCGTATTCACCTCACGGGCGAGTCTGCTGCTGTGGTGGGTGACCTGCCAGTCCTTGTGTGCATCTAGCAGCTTCCCATCCATTCCTGGTGCATGGCGCTGGTGCTTCCATGGTAGCTTGTTTAACTGCCTCCTCTCTTTTTCCTCTTCCTCCTCCTCATCCTCCTGCTGCTGCTGCTCCTCCTCCTCCTCTTCCTCCTCCTCCTCCTCCTGATCCTGCTGCTGCTGCTGCTGCTGCTGCTGCTGCTGCTGCTCTCTGTGCTGCTGCTGCTGCTCCCTGTGCTGCTGCTGCTGCTGCTGCTGCTCCCGGTGTTGCTGCCAGTGCCAAATAGATGGAATGCTCCGTGGATCGCTCGTGGCGCTTGCTGAGTCTGCATTCGCTCTGGCTGCTGATCCTAACCCTTCAAATCCCTTTGCGGGCTCTCTTTGATGCTCCGCGTGCTCTCCTTCCTGACTATCGTGGGCAGAGGCAAAGGCAAATGCTGGGTGCTGGAGGAAGAAGGAGAGGGCGTTGAGTGGCGGGAGAGGGGACGCGTTGCCACCGCTGCTTCTGTTGTGCAAGCTCATGCCGTTGGCCAAGTCTGGGCTGCTTGGGGTGCCATAATAGGGTTGTTGTGCGCGACCCGCCGCTGCAGGACCGTGAAAAAGAAAAGAAATGAAGGGGGACGGGGAATGAGAAACTAGGGGGGAGAGAGTGGAGGTAGCAGAGTGGAGTGGACGGAGAGGTGGACAGTGGGGTTGCGAGTAGCAATGCGGCAGTCAGGGAGCGGATCAGACACTTGATAAGAAAGCGGTGGGGCAGGGGTCGGGCGGGTGGAAGACAAAGAGGAAGAGGAAGAGGTATGGGGAATGAGGAATCGGAATGAGGAATAGGAAGGCATTGCAAGTTGCAAACAACCCAAGACAATCCAACAGGTGTGCAGCTTACATGGCAGGGAGGAAGGAGCATGCCCTCCTCCTCCTAGCTCGCTAGGATCACTGGCCTCTGCAGTGTGCCGTGGTGGTTGCATGGATGGTGCTTGACGCGCCTCGAAAAACGTTTCAGCGGAGTGTGGGTAAAGGCGCGAAGACGTGTGTTCTCTCGGGGTGGCTGCTTGGGGGGAGAGTGTCAGTGTCAAGCTGTTGTTGGTGCTGGGGGGGAAAGAGTGCTGCTGGAATGAAGGTGGGAAGGAGTGAGGAGGGGAGGGAAATGGAGGAGGAGGAGGAGGAGGAGGAGGAGGAGGAGGAGGAGGAGGAGGAGGAAGATGAGGAGGAGGAGGAGGAGGAGGAGGAGGAGGGCAGTGCAGGCTGGGAGATGTGCTGAGCAGAAAGGACGAGGATGAGGAGCAAGAAGATGGTGATGGTACTGTTGCTGCTGAAGCTTCTAGTGCCGTTGCAACCCCTGCTGCAGCTTCTGCCGGCGCTTCTGCTGCTGATGCTGCTGCCGGCGCTTCTGCTGCTGCTGCAGCTGCCGGCGATTCTGCTGCTTCTGCTGCTGCTGCTGCTGCTGCTGCTGCTGCTGCTGCCGCTGCTGCTGGCGATTCTGCTGCTGCTGGCGTTGTTGCATATGATGATGGCAAGAACGACGACAAGGAAGGCAGGCGATTCTGCATGGAGGAAGAGGATGAGAAGCACCGGACATGGAAATCCGGGCCAGCCCACATGTCCGAAAGCCGAGGCCGTTTCCGAGAAGGGAAATGTAAGGCATCTGCAGCAGAGGACTGGGAAAATCTGGGCGGTTGGAAAGATGCGATTGTGCACGAGGCATGTGTCTCAGGATCGGGCTTGAGAGAGTGAGGGCCGAGCGGGGGAGCATCTGAAGGCGTGGAGGACCCTTGAGCTGTGGTGTTGGTGTTAGTGGTGGTGGTGGTGTTGGTGTTGGTGTTGGTGTTGGCGTTGGAGTAAGTGTTAGCGTTGGTGTTAGTGTTGGTGTGACAGTTGGAACTAACCCTAATAAGAGCATCTGATGAATCTGTGGCTGTGGCTCTGTTGAATGGCACTCCAGGACGCTGAAACGCAGTAGCAGCAACAGCAGCAGCAGTATCATCAGGCGCAGGGGCAGCAACTGTTGCTGAAAATGCAGCAGAACCAAGAGCAGGATCAGTAGTTGGAAGGGGGTCATCTAGTACGGGCTGGGATTCCACAGGGATCCCAAACCCAAAAAGCCTAAGTGAGCTGCTGAGAACCGTGGCTGTTCCGCCTGATGCTGACAACAACGCAGGCACAGCGGCAGATGGATCAGCAGCAGCGGCGGCAGTAGCAGCGGCGGCAGCGGCAGCGGCAGCGGCAGCGGAGGCAGCTTCATCAGCATCACGACAAGGCCATTGGCAATCTTCCATTTCGAAGCAAGGGAAGAGCCAGAAACAAGCGGCACCCGTGCATGTGCATGAAAGGCATGCAACTAGGAGGATTGTAGCAGGGGGTCACGAGCTGTGTTATAATCGCGAAACCTGAGGAGCACACACGGGACCCCCAGCAGCAGCAGCGGAGGCGGCAGCAGTAGAAAGAAGCAGGAAGGCCCTACGCTCAGTTAGTGAAGCCCTTCGATGTGCCAAGACCAGCATCCATCCATCACAAATATGTGACACCTCATTTCATCACACCAGCTTTGGCTTTGGCGACAACCTGCCAGCGTGCAAAGCAATTGACCAAGTGTGGTAGCAGCAGCAGTGGTCACTAAGGTTAGTGGTTGCAAGTGGGGGAGGATGAGAAGAATTGCAAAAAGAGAGAGGAAAGACGGCGGGTTGGAAAGCTAGAGTATGAGGGAAGGAGTTACGGAGATAAGGGGAGAGTCTCCTTGGAGGCCTACAAGATCCACCTTTTGTGAAAAACTTCAACTTTTGTGGCGCCTCAAAACTCCTCGCGGAATCTACAACTTGAAGTTCCGCCAGTGAAAACCTTCGGCTTCAGGGATTCAATTCGGCGCTCCAATAATTTGATTGCACTGCATCATCGATCCGGTTCTGGGGGGAGGTTGGGAAGTGACAGGGGGAGGAGGGGAAACGAAGAAAATGGGGAGAGAGAGAGAGAGAGAGAGAGAGAGAGAGAGAGAGAGAGGGGGGGGGGGGGGGGGAGTGAGAGGGAAAAGGAGAGGGGAGAGGGAGAAAGAGGGGGAGGCATGAAGGAAGTGTGCCAAAAATAAGTAAGGGAAGACGGCCCTTTGTATAGACAGCGCGGAGGCGTAAGAAGAGTGTGAGAATGGATTGGACGCGTTAAAACCGCTCCCAGCCAATAGCTGGGTTTCGACTCAAACGGTGGCTCCCGTTATGGGTGTGATGGGGTTCCGGTCCCTGGTAACACAGCATCCCGTTTGGACAAGCAACTCAGGTGATCCACAGCCTTCAGCCTTTCCTGTCCTCTTTGTCCTCTTTTTAGGGCGTATCTTTGGTTCGGGTCATAAGGCCACTTTGGGTCATCAGTACACTTTGGGTCATGGGAGGACCAATGGTATTCGAGTATTTTCACTAAAATGCGCCTGATTGGTCTTCCAAGAATCTCGGATGACCCAAACAGTGCATGACCCGAACCAAAGATACGCCCTTATCATTCCTTTGATGCATAAGAATGACGCTGGAAGGTTGATCCGAATCGACCTTCAAGCTAGCCTTGTTCTCTAATCATGTCGGTGGCCCAAGTTTTTTTATTTCTATTTTTTCTAGAGCCCGAACTCGGTGCTAGGTATTCCTTACGCATAAGCAAAAATTCCGCAGCAAGCTTCCGGATCTTTTTCTTTGGTTTTGGATTTTTTTTTTTATCTTTGTAGGAAAAAGTTATTGCGCTGGCAGTACCTGAAGTGATTAGGGTTACGGCGACCCTTAGACGGCACTTGATAACGAACGTGTCGCAAAAATCTCAGAGGCAAACTGAATTGTTAAACGACCAGATTCTAAAATAACTGCTCCAGGAAAGGTGGCGTCACTGCTACTGGGATCTTGACTGCTGCAGCGGCACCCTCAGCGTTCTAGAACCGTGCCCCCTCCTTCGTTACTAGCTCGTGTTGTGAGACTGTCCGCAGAAAGTACTACTTATCGTATCAGCCTTTCGGGAGACTTGGCGGCCGTGAGAATAACACATGGCACACAGATTTACCAACAGCTGGAAGGGCGGATTAAACGTGTGCTGTGCAACTAAGGACACAACAGCACCTCAAAAGTTCACAACAGCCTAGAACACCGTCTGGTCATCATTTCAAGTTCCTCTAATCCAACCCCTGACTCCTCGGGCACAATGAGTCAACTGAAGTGATGAGGGGGTTTGCTCTTTTCAAATGAAATACCTCGGCATGAGTGTAGCCCTTTCTAGTTTGGCCCGAGCCAAGCGTACCTCGCGTTGTGACCACACGATCTCCTCTCTCCCCCACCCTACTGTGCGATGGTGCAAGCTCCCGTCACACAACACGTAATGCTGTGTGGTTTGGGAAGCCAAGTGAGGGAAGGCTGGTGGTGACCAGCTCATTCCGTCTCCGCGGAAAACTTGCTAGGGCAGGATAGTTTGAGCACCTGCCCGCAGGATGGTAATGTGTCCTTTTCGAATGACCTGATTCTTGTGAAGCCTTCATGGTGAGTGCAAAATGCGAATTCTTGATACACGAAAATTGTAATAATATATCTGAATTTCATATTGTGCACGATGTGTTCCTCATTAGTATATCAAGAGTGTATTATTACTGCAGTGCCAACATTTTCTTCTTCGAATGCATTCTTGGATTGTCTGGTAACAGATGTCGGAAGTTGCATCAGCAGCCAAAAACTTCCAAGCAGTGATCTTGGATTTGGGCAACCTGCTTGAGTACACTACCCCTTTCGTACGGCCTGACACTCAGCCCAATCAGTCTGAAATTTACAAGTGTTGAATGTTGGTACAGTCGGTGCCCATTTCAAGAACACCAGGTAGGCGGGCGGCATGTACGTGAAACGAGTTTGAGACATTTCGCCACATTCGCCCTTGTCGCCACGGGCAAAAATGTGACTGTAATATGAAATTGCAACGTGAATCGATTTAAGGGCTTTAATTTCGTAACCAGGTTAACTTCTCTGATGACGGGCAACCGTTGTTGTTTATGAACTGTAGATGTTTTTCTTCCTCAACTTGGTGACTGTACCCTGAAATCGGCACAATGGTCAATTTAGTCACTCACGGGCAAAACGTTCGCGAGTGACTAAATTTCTAATTGTGAGGAGCAAATGTTTTGTGATAGGCTGAGCATCGACTGTACGCGTGATGCCAGAACAAGGGTGATTCGCTTTTGTACAGAATGGCGTCGAAACGGAGGAGGATACTGTTCGACAAAGTCTAGCTTAGGACGGGGCCTAAGTATTTTGTTCCAGGTTCGTTTGACGTTGTTAAATTCGGTTCATTACGTTTGTGCACGGTGATCAGTTTTCACCGCTCTATACCATTGTGCACCAGGGTGAACCTTACGAGGTCATAAATCGTGACAACAAACATAGGAAATTATACGCGCAGTCACAATTATGGCCGTATTATCACGTTTGGTCACGGGGTTATCACGGACAGTCACAGTACAGTACTTCGCTATCACGCATGATCACAGAGATATCACGCTTGATCACTCCTCGCCCCGCAGGGTTATCACGTTTAGTCACTCGTTGAAACGCCCGCCAAAAAGTCGAAACTCTCAAATCTACTGTACAGATTCGGGTACTTTTATCTCGCGCGAGCAAGCGCAGGCAAGCGCTCGCTAGAGGGAGAATTACCTCTGATACCTCCCTCCCTGTAGCTTGTTTAATTCACCATATCGTATGCCTACTCAAATCCAAGATTGACTGGTGGTTGATATGCAAATGACATTGTGTAATTGGGTTATTTATTACTGCGTGTGCAAAACATAATGTCAAGGTATCAATTACAAAGAGAAGAGTGATTATATAATCGAAACTGCTATTGATCGCGTATATTCACTGCAAAATGCGGACTCTGCATTAAACTGCATCGGTCCCTAACAAGGACCGAGTATATTTCGACAGTCACATCACGTTTTTCACTACAGACAAAACGCGCGCGAGATAAAAGTACCCGAATCTGTACAGTAGATTTGAGAGTTTCGACTTTTTGGCGGGCGTTTCAACGAGTGACCAAACGTGATAACCCTGCGGGGCGAGGAGTGATCAAGCGTGATAGCGCTGTGATCATGCGTGATAGCGAAGTACTGTACTGTGACTGTCCGTGATAACCCCGTGACCAAACGTGATAATACTGTCAAAATACTAGCGTGAGTTTGGCTTAGGAGCCATAGTTTAGGAGCCTTGGTAGTTGAGTTGGAGTTTAGGAAAAGTATCGAGAGGTTTTGGAAGGAGAGGAATGGGGTTTCACTAGCAAGAGTTGGGATACAAGTACAACACCCTAAATTGGGTTGTACTCATTACAGAGTACCCCACTGCAGGCTAGACAGCAAATACATTCTGACACACCCCCATAGCCAAAGTGGGGTGTAATCAGCACAATGAGCAAGCATAGAGCAAGAGTTCACAATAGGTAAGTAAGGCTAGAGCTAATCACAGAGGGCAAGTGAGGAGGAGGAGAGACTGTGGGGGAGAGAAGATGGGAGGCGACTGCTGACGCTGCAGACACACAGACGAGCTGCTGGCTCAGTGGCTACCGGAACAGCGCTCCGGACTACTGGGGTAACTGGCCCCGCGGCTAAAAGTAGCGGCAGACGAGCAACGGACCCACGGGCGACTGGCGACTACCGGAGATTGTAGCCTCCGGACTGCTGCTGCTGCTGACGACAAGACTGCTGCCTCCACTCGACCTCCCCAGCTGCCTAACGCCCTTCT